CAGCGATCAGCATTGTACATCCAATGCCGGCTCATCTGCATTACATGATATACATACCATATTAAAACCTAGAACATAATTAGTTAATTATACGACATGCATGCCACCACATAAGGTATTAATTTATGAAAGTCTCGCTACAATGTAGACAATCCCAACTACCATAAAAAACTAAAGCTAAAATGCACTTCAGCAGCATAAGGATTTCATGACCAATCCTAACTAAAACAGACAGATCATGTGTTTGTTCAACATCTATGGGCTTCTTCCACAGGATCTTCGCCTCATCACCATGCCCGTAGTCACTTTGTGCAAGAGAGTTTTGCACGTGTTCAACATACTCTTCCTCCCAGTACCAGCCTAAACATCCAATGTCATCCCACTGAAATTAAAACAAAAAATTAGAACTCTAATCACAATCATCATGAAAATAAGTATAAATTAACCATAATCATCAAATGTGACAAAATAACTCACATTGCGATCTGGACACTTGTAGAAGATACGGCCCTTGTTGGGACACTCCTTCCTCACCCGACACTCCATCACAATCTTCTCCTCACACTTGCCGCATGCAATGAGAGAGAGGTCCGGCCTCAGTCGCTTTGGAACCCGATGAGAGGCCGAGGACCCGGAAGCAGTTGCCATCTACTCTCTATACTCATTTTTAATATAATATAAATTTCTCATTTTATAAACAAATAAAATTAAAAAAACTCTAAAATTCTCTATATCTCTAAACCATAAAATGTGCTATGCATGCTAGAAATAAAAGCTGAATACTAGTTTTGAATAACTACTTTAACCTTTCTTCATTCAAATATGCAAACTTTAAAGTGATTTTGAGCTTAAATGGCTTGCAAATAAAAAAAATCCACCATAAAAAACCACATATATCTAGTCCACAAAATGAGATAGGCTACTAATAAAACATGAGAATATAAATATAAAGTTGGTAACATTTAGAACCGAAGAATCGATGGAGGAATCGAAGAAATCTTGTGATTACCGGCGATGAGGAAGAAGAGAGGTCAGCGATATGAAGCAAGAACACTGAGCTCGAAGTGGCTCGGGCTCGGGGAGGAAGAAGGGGTATAGGAGGGGACCTTTAGTCTCGGTTGGAGACAGTAACCGGGACTAAAGGTCACTTTCTAATCCCGGACGGAGCCTCCAGCCGGGAGTAGACTTTTACTCCGGTTGGAGGGACCAACCGGGAGTAAAAGTTAACCTTTAGTCCCGGTTGGTAGTTTCAACCGGGACTAAAGAGTCCCCTGCAGCAAAAGTCTGCCACAGTAGCCATTGGGCAGGGACCTTTAGTCCCGGTTGAAGCTACTAACTAGGACTAAAGGTTTCTCTAGTTCTGGACACGAAAAATACCGGGACTAAAATCAAATTTCAAAGTAGATCAAAGTTTGTTTCTCTACTAGTGAGTTTCAACTTCCTGCGCTGGACCTCAGCCTTTGCCTCAATATCACCTGCTAAGAAAGGTCTGGTTATATGTGTCATCGTTTTCAACCTACGTCAACCCAACAATGCAATGGCTCGAATTCACCTAAGCACATTCAACCACACAGCGGCAGAGGCCTCGGTGAAAAAATTCTGACGAAGTGGCTCTGTGTGGTTGGGCCACTCGTGGAGCGTAACCTGCCCGAGTTGGATTTCTGGCTAGAAGGAACTCAGGTGGGTCGCACAGGGAATTTTTATGCAGAAGGTCTTGTTTGGATATTATCGAGTTCATCTTAATCCACGTGTATATTCTATCTCAACATGTGCAGATTAATACGAATCCGACTATATCCAAACTGAAAGGACTGAACATGTTTATGAGGTGCGTGTGCGTGTATATGAGATGGGTGTGCGTGAATGCGTGAGTTACTCAGTAGGCGCATTTGAGACCGTTCGAACAACCTCGCGTATGTGTGTGTGTGTGTGTGTGTTTTTGCGAATTTTGAGTGCAGTACTTCTGTCGTTGTTAAAAAATACTAGCTCTACACAAACGCATGAACAACTAGTGTACTCAATGCAAGGCCTCCAAAGTGATGATCAAGGAATCGAATCCTGATTTTCATCCTCAAGTGTCTCGCAAGGTGCGGGGGGAAAGCACCTTGTCAGGATTTTGTTTGGCTGGCACTCCGATCCACCTCAAACACCGAAGGGAACACTCTTAAGCGTCAATAGAATTTTTCTTTGTCACAAAAGGGTAAACATAATATCTCCTATGATTAAGTCTATTTTTAGCCACTCAACTCTTGTTTGTCTAATTTTAACTCCCAACTACAAAACTGTATAACTTTGGTACTTCAACTATCAAAAACCCTTTAATCTTGACAACAGAGCCATCTCAAAACCGCTCAAAACTACATCGATCGGTGGTCAAAATTGAACGGTTTTGATGATAGTTAAGGTGCTAAAGTTAGACAAAGGCAAGAGTTGCGAAGCCAAAATAAAACTTCTATATATTAAATTTACTTATTGGTAAATATTTATATGTATTAAAATATTTATCTAATAATTGATTTTTGTCATAAGAAGTTCTAAAATTTTCATAAATTAAATTTTGGTCATATTTTTTTCTAAAATATAGTCTATTTCATATAGATCTACAACTATGATTTATGTTATTTCTTCATCCGAGTTCGTTTGAACAATTCAAAAATATTGAATTTCAAAAAATAAGAACTTAAAATGGAATTTTGGGACCATAAATGATTTCAAATGAAATAGTCATCAAACACATGTTTAGTTTTGTCATTTCTTCGTCCAAGTTTGTTCGACCAATTCAAAAGAATTGAATTTTAAAATATGAGAACTTCAAACAAAAATTTGGGGCCGTAAATAATTTGAAATGAAAAAGCCATCAACTATAAAGTTGTTATCTCATCAAGATAGACAAATTTTATTTTGGTCATTTCTCCATCTGATTCTGTTTGAAGAAGTCAAAATATTTAAATTTCAAATATAAGAACATAAAACTACATATTATATTTTTAAATAAATTCAGATCCATATTCAGAACAAAAAAATCTAATCTAATATATATATAAATCCAAAAAAGTGTAGATAAATATTTTAATACATATAAATATTTATAAATAAGTAAATTTAACATATATTTTTTATAAATATCTAAAAACTATAATACTTGATTAAATCTGTTTTGGCCCTTCAATTCTTCTCTTTGTCTACCTTTAGCACCTCAACTATAAAAAAATGTTCAATTTTGACCTCACAAGGTAGTTTTAAGTTGTCTTGATATGGCTCTGGGTTAAAATTAAACGGTTTTTAGATTTGATGTGCCAAAGTTAGACAATTTTGTAGTTGGAGTAAAAATTAGACATGCAAGAGTTGAGGGGCCAAAAATGGACTTAATCCTATCTTCTAACAATGCTTTGGAGATGCACATAATTGTGAAAGCCAATATTCACAATTATTTGGGTGCAAAGTAATTGTGAATATTGTGAATATTTGGGACTCAATCCTTTTCATTATATGTGTATCCTAATGTATTGTAGGAAACTAAACAACGAAGATTAGAAGAACATAGAAAGAATTGAAAAAATTTTAAGTAGTTGGAAAAGGAAATATTTGTTGGTGGGTGGGTGACTGTGTGCCGATAAATCGAGTTCTGTCTAGTTTGCCAATATGCGTGCTCTTTTTTTTGAGATACCGAGAGGAGTACTTAAGAAATTAGAGTATTGTAGATCTAGCTAGATTTTCTAGTAAAATGATCAACACAAAAATAAATATATATTGGTAGGACATCCTTTGTCAACTAAAGGAGCAAGGGCGTCTTGGAATACAAAACTAACCCTTGTAAAAACAAGTGCCTTTTGACTAAATGGCTCTTCAAACTGTAATAATAAAAGGGTGTATGGAAAGAGTTATTACAAAAAATATCTTATGAATAAACTTGGAGCCAAATGTTGAAAACAAGTTGGAAACTCTGGTATAGCCTTATGGGATCAAAGACGATTCCTAAATCTATTGACATTTAGACTTAAAAGTGTAGACCAAATTAGATTTTGGGAGGACAAACAGTTAGGTACTCAGCACTAATCTTCCAATATCCTAACTTATTTAATATTGTTCAACACGAAGAAGCAACTGTGGCTCAATGACTTAGTTCTAACCCACTAAAGGAGTGACTTAACCAGATGTTCTTAGAGAGGATCTGTGTCTGGAGTGATCATAAAAATGGACTGTTTAAGGTTAAGGCTATGTATGAACATCTGGTCAACAAGGGTATTAAGGTTAGGTAAGGAATTTAGCATTTGAAACTACCACTAAAAATTATGATTTCATTATATTTAAAAAGGGTGTAATCCTAATTAAAGGAAATCATAATGTCTTTATGAGATATTCTTTGAAACTACCACTAAATGGATAAAGCTAAAATAGATTATGAGATAGTCTTTATTTCATTTTGCATACCAAAAAAGAGTAGCTTCATCCGCGCGAAAAGCTTGGAGGTTCTGACTAGTAGGTACTAAAATTTCCTTCCAGATCAACTGATCTGATCAAGGGGTTTCTCAAGAGAAGTTTAATGGGATAGGAGACCTTGGAGATTGATGGATGGGCAAAGGTATTAAAAAAAGTTTGCTGTTGTATATGGGGTTCTGATGGCTTACTCAAGCACAGTTGGGGCCAAGGAGGGGGAGCAAAGCCAAGCCCTTTCTTCCTTTCATCTCAATGGAGGGTTACAGGTAGTGCTCTTTTCCATATGGTAATTTGTTTGTTGGACAATTGGACTTACGTACTGCTTTCTTCATTCTTCGTTCAAATTGTAGTTCAGTTTAGCTTTATCCTAGGTTAAACTTATCTAGTTTTGACCAAGCTTGTAAAAAAATATGTTACCATATACAATTTTAAATAAATCCATTACTAAAACATATTTCATGGAGAATTTAGCAAAACTAATCTGATGTTGGTGTATTTTTCTATGACTTCAATGTTAAGAAAGTTTTATTTAGGATAAAACCAAGGCAAACCATGATTTGGAAATGAGCGTTCATTTCCAGCTAAGTGCTAAACAACAGCAACTCACTCTACTGCTTATAGGCTTCTACAGTTGCACAGTGCACGAACTAGAAGAAGCAGATGCACTACTGCTCAACCAACGCCAGATGCTAATGTTACAACGTAATGTCGTACAGGGCACATGCACCAAACTACTGCAGGGAGATAGAGACTCTTGCATCTTAAATCCAAATGAACATAATGGAGCACAGATTGAAAAGATTGATCACTACCGATGGGCACAGCATTTGGCCATCGACCTATCCTCTCTCTGCAGATACTTGCTCTGTAGCAGAGGTTCCCAGACAGGGACATCTGCAGAACACCCGCTCTATGCGCAACACTTCCATGACAAAGTGACAACCATGTCTAATCAGCTTCCAATCGTACAAAAGCAAATTACTCCAGATTATGAGAAGGTATTTCGGAATCTGCAATTCTGCGTACCTTGTTTAATCCTGGATAGATATGCATGACTCAGGAATTTACCCACGTCTCACATCTGAAAGTCTGAAACAAGGATGCTGTTAGCCTGTTACATAAAAGTGTGCGAGAACTCTAGCTGATTGCCTTGAAAAACAGCAAAATGACTCCAGGATAAGTAATTAGGCAATGAATATATCAGCATCAGTTCCCAGTACATGCCACATGAACCGCAAGAGAAATAGAGGATATGTGAATGCACAGATGAAATAAGATAAATGTGCAGGAAAGCCTTGCAAACAGGTGGACTTAGATGCAAGCAACATTCAGACATCATTGTTACTGATAAAGTGTAAATTAATCACTACTCAGAGTCCAAGTGCCAAACTTAAGGAGTATCTTGATGTTATAAGTTTGTCACAGTGCTATTACCTACATTTCCTGTAAAGATAGCATTCCAGCCCTTCATTGGCATGGTCATCATTGCCTTATAGTACAACCTGCTGCAAAAGCAAGAGATTAGTACTAGCAAAAATCATGAGGACATCACAAAAAGTACTATTCAGCCCTGGATACTCAACAAGCTTCAGACCTTGTAAACCAATCGCTTCAAGCCCTAAATTACGAAAAAGGCTATTATGGTTATAGCCTACCACTTAAGAAGATGGCATGCCGACAGCTCCCTTTCAAACATTGCTGCTCCGCAACAGGAGTGGCGTAACAAGACAAGAGGACCTAGTCAAAGGCATTAATACATTTCAGTTCAGTACTGACGTACTGGGAGTAATGTGGACGAACTAAATAAGACTTACCCTCAACAACATCTACCCACAAGTGATGTAAGTACATATTAATGGCACAAAATTATCACATAATCCCAAAATTCAGAAACAACTATTGTGTAGTCTCCCATCCATGTGAAGTCCAAAATAATATACTAACAGTCCGCAACTTTCTTACTTCTTTAGTTAAAGTATGCAAGGCAAACATAAGTACATAACCCCAGGATTCACAAGAAAAGTATTGGCACAGTATTCAATATACAATATAGTGACAATTTATCCAGATATATTTAACAACATAGTAATAAGTTATTACCGGAAAGCATGTGGCACTAGATCCTTTACTATGGCAATCAAACAGATTAAGCTCCAAACTATGCTGATGGTGTCTGCACATTCATCTATTAGCCCTGACCCCTGACCTCCACGTCAAGAAACACTCTTACAATAAGAATTTCATGAGGAAATAGCATAAGTCCAAAATTCTGCTGAAATTAAAGCATTTGAAATACTGAGAAAAAGATTAAAGCTGCATAAATGCGAGAATCACACAGTGAAAATCTGTTGGCATTAAAACTGATATGATGTTTTAAGAAAGTTGCAGCATGCTGTGAAATGGGGAGAAACGGAGACTGTAATATGCCAAAGCAGAGTCCTCTCCTCTTTGAAGAGGTTTCAGTGCTAATGCCAGAGCACGCATTAAAGAGCAATTTACACTTTTAAAACACCTTTATGTCACAAAATCTGTAGAGGATAGAATGTAAAGCTTATATGTTATAAATATATATAGATGTCAATCATAAAACAAAGAATATTCAAGTTCTCTTAGCAAAAAAAAAAGGAAAGGGAAAATAAAATTACACAGGTTTTCAAAGGATCAGCGTTCCTTTTGCTCTGGAACTGATCGAATACTATTCTGTGCAGGCTAATACTACATTATAACTGCTTTTACTGGGTGAACTGTGCTGCCCACATGACTCTGTGTCAATATCCCATCTTTTTATCTGTATAGCTCACACCGCACGACGTTATCAGTCATCCATCATCCGCGGCCTCTGGATCTCACTAATATAGGATGTCAAAGAAGTTCCAGAAGGATTGACTGTCCTATTGTTGCCACGACACTGCAGCAACTGTTGCTGGAGATTCTGGATAAAATTATTCAATTTCTGAATCATCTTTTCTTGAGTGAAGATTATCTGAAACAAGTATAAAGTTATAGCCAAATTTGAATACTGGTGCCATTAAAAAAAAATCCTCAAGCAACATTCCTATGGGTGACAAATAAATTTCCAATTCTCTTGTACTACATAATAATGTTCTTTCTAACCAAACAATCTTTGTAATGTGCTGAAACAACAACATAAGAATATATATATATCTAAAATGAGGTTACTGAACGTGTCTCAACACTTGGAAGTATATTTACCATGAAAATAAGGTCTAGGAAGCAATAATCAGCATGTTATTAGAGCCCTGCTATTCAAGTAGCTCCTTTTCATCTCAAAGCAATTTGTAGACAAAACTTTGTCACTATCTAAAACTAATAAAAAAAGCCTTGCTTAAAAAGCATTCATATACACACAATGAGTCACCTGATCCTTGACAAGCTCTTCTCTACTTGAAACATGTTTCTGGTTGTGAGCTTTAGATTCCAACTCATTTACAAGCTGTTGCTTCCATTCAAACTGGGACGTGACTATGAGTATCACCAACAGGAAGACAAGCACTACAGGCCTTGACACCATTATATTGCACGAGAGGAAACCTAAAAACAAATTCACCAATGAACGCATTAATATTCAGACATCACTATTCATCTGAATATTACAAAGTGCTTTTAAAATGAATATAGAGAAGTAAATAGAAACTTCGCAAACGAAATCGTGACCTTTCCTTTTTGTTTCAATGAGCTACATACAAGATAAGCCCCTTCGAAGCTACCCCAACCAGTAAACTGATAGTGACAAAATTTCCACAGCCATTCAGTCATTGAGATTTCCCTACCACAAGCAACTGAACTACTGAAGTGGAAGTGTAACTGTTGTAAAAATTGCTAAAACTCGCGGGCAAATCCAATTCTCGGACACGCGGGCGCACGATTACAAAAAGCAATGGAACAAAATCGCGCTCGATTAAAGGAAGACAACTAATATATCCTTTTTTAAAAAAATGGACTGAGGCACGCTAACACGAACAATCAGCAGACGCTATCGCACAGGGGGGCACTCTACTAACTTAGATTCCGTTGGTAACACCACGATCACCGGCGCAGGGACCGACGCGCGCCACGCAGCGATATGAACGGGCGGGTCGGGGAAAGAGACGAGAAGAGAGGAGGGGAGACTGGGAGACAGGAGATAGCTCACAGGGCAGCGGCTCATCGGCCGACGAAGCCGTGGGCGACGCCTCCCCAGATACCGGAGAAGCCTCTGGGGCTAGTACGGCGAGGCGCCGAGACGGTGGCGGCACGCGGCAGCTGCCGCCGGCGAGAAGCGCGCGGTTGCTTGGCAGGGAGAGAAGCGAGGAGAGGAAAGAGAAAACGTGAAGAAACCGCGGAAAATGGGGAGGAGCACGGCCGAGGGCGGGGGGACCCACACCAGGTTTGGGCGACGTGACGTGACGCCGGGAGGTTGTTTCGATCAGACGGCAGCCGTTGTACCATCTCCGCACTCCGCCACGAATCGTGCGGTGCGGTTGCGGTCTCCGCGATTCCGCCAATCCGCCGTCTGATGGTGGGGCCGTGGGACGGTGGGAGAAGGAATGCGTGCTCCGTTCCGTTAGCTCGGTGCCTTGTCCTTTCGGATTTTTTTTTCTCTCAGGTCCAATCCGAAGTCAGCGAGGTGAACTGTCAAAAATCTCGGCTGGGTTGTCAAAAATTTCTAGGATACATGACAGGAATGAACTTTATATTGTACCAGCGGTCTTTACTATATCGTCGTGTTGTTCTGATTTATGAATTTACAGAATATACTTATATAGATACCGAAATAAAGTCAGTATAAATAGATTTAGCTGTATGCCTGACATGTGAGGTCCACAAATCAGCTCCGCCTCCCTCCTCACTCTTCTTTCTATCCCCCTCTTTTCTCTTGGGGGGAGGCGTGACCTGAGAGGCGCAACCTGCACAGGTCGGGCAGACGGGCTTTCGCAAGACTCAAGAGGACAGGCCTTGACGCTCGCTGTTGGCTTGCCCCCATGGCCCATTGGCCAGATCTCGACCGTGCATCTATTCCCGGGCGACGGCGCGAGTTCTGGCGAGCGGCGTTCAGGACGCAGGCGCAGGGCGCAATCTATAGAGGTGCAGCTCGAGCTCCTGGAGGGAGATAGCCATGGGCCATGGCGGAAACGGGAACCTGACACTTGCGGCATCGGCGCGAGCGTGGTCCTTGGCCCTCGAATCGACGACGACAACCATGACTAGTGGTCGGACTGCAGCACTACCAGCGGCGAGGACCACGACATGCTCATCCTGCGCTGAATACTCTCCTGCGGTCGACTGCAGGAGCAACGACCGGGAGCTGGTAGTGGTAGTGGACAGGTTGAAAAGAAATGGGATTGCATAGCGTATGCAGCGGACGTCCGTGCCCGATCTCCGGTCTCCATGCTGCACATGCTGATGGGGACAGCGCGTGTGTGTGATTCGTCGTCGAGCAGACGATACTACTACATGCGCAGCAGGTACCTAATCATGGCGGCCTGTGATAGAGATGGCGGACCGCCCACAGAAAAGAAATGTCGAACTGATGATGCATGCGTGATTCATGCTGCTGTCTGCTGATGTTTTGCAGTTTGAACCACTCCCGTTCTTTAATCTATCTGAGACTGTGGCTGTGACTCTGTAAGTGTGAGGTCAGTTTTCTACTTGAACCATCCTTATAAAAGGGTACCCGTTCGACCTCTCATTTTTAAACTGGAAGTTTCAAACCTTGTTTAGGCTGCTACGATGACAAAAGACGTAAGGCTTCCGACGTCTCGTTTTAGATACGTCCTTCGGTCCTCAAATAATGAATTGTCCTAAACCAAAATGTTTTATGTTTGTCGTGATTAATTTGGTGTCAACAATACTATTGTTTTCTGTAAACTTTATCAAACTTAGCGTAGTTTAACTTATAACAAATGAAAACTCTAGACCACATTTGGATAATGTCGACATTGGAGGGTATGGAATTGAATTGGGTTCAATACCATACCAGCCATGATATTGGAATAGGCCACGGTCCAAATTATGTTGTTTTGAACCAATGAATCAAATCTCTAGGAACAAGAGGAGATTCCAATATCATGGCTGGTATGGTATTGAACCCAATTCAATATCATGGCTAGTGAACAACCGACCACTCTAGGAACAAGAGGAGATTCAACAGTCTAGATCAAGTTCAACTCCCACTCTCAATCTGTGAACACTATGAGTCCGAAGCTTCTTTTGTAAACGAATTGGCAGGCACGGAAAGGATCAAACACATTATTAAGTAGTAGCGGAAGAATATAGGAAGACGATGTTGATAAATTTCTTGTGCTAATCTCATAAACCAAGAACATATGTGGCTGTCCTGTGTGAGAATAGCCCGTGCATACGACCATGGCAACAGCTATCGTGAATGTTCACGTTCTCCAACAGGGAAAAGGCACAGGTGCATCTGGACTGCACTTTCCTGGATGCATGAATGTTCATAAGATCACTGCTGGCTCTCGCTGCAGCTGACATGACGAGTGATCGTAATAAGTTAAATAAATGCATAGCCGACAACAAGATAACCTGCGCGCTTCCATAAACAATGCATAGATTGTGGAAATTTTGAAGCCCGGGCGGGAGGGATGAAAGAAAATTCCGAGTACGTACCGACATGCGTGCTCACGTAAGAGACCGGCGCCACCCCGCCCGTGAGACAGGGTCACAGGGGCGTTGTTGCCGGCAAAGGCACCAGGAACCATCAGAACTCGAGAGAACGACCGAGAGTAGCTAGATAAGCATAGCATGATGCATCAGCAGAAACCAAACCCAGAGAGGAGATATATCCTAATACACTCTATTGCGAGATGGCCGTACGACCAATCTGGTCTCCGGGCCTGCCTTTAAACTAATCCCGAGTTGGATCAATGGATTGGTTTCTGCATGCTGTGCTGTCGATCGCGCTGACATGGCAATTGACATGACCCTGCTGCAGGCTTGTTGCCGGAGCTGCTAGCTGTACTATATACTAGGATATCTGTCTGACCAATTATACGGCTGTGCATATATAGTACTCTATTCTGGGATTGATTACAGCAGGGACACAACTGCACGCGATGCGTCCGTGTATGCTGTATGCATGATCTTTGTGAGGTAGGAATATCCGCTTGGGCACTAGCCGGTGGCACCAGGGAAAAGGGCGTGATCATAGTAAAATCGTGGAGATTCAATTCAATATGCAAAAGAAAACAAATGTTCTGGTCTTCTGGAACGTGGCAATATACCATATTTGTTTCCATTATTTTTTTGAATAAAAATAAAAGGACGTGTGCCGACTGTTTCGTTCGCGGAGCAAGAAGCGCCGCCGTATTGCGCGCACAGGCAGAAAAACGTGGAACCGGCCGTGTTGCCCACACGGCACGGGCGCATGGCGCCCGTAGCGTCCGTGCCCCGCGCCTTGGCGCCCCGCGTCCCCGCCCGTGGCGGCAGGCGCGCTGCGTTCCCCGCACGGCCGGCACGCTCGCTACCCCGTCTCATCCCATCCGGCCCCGGCACCCGGGCCGTGAGGGCTGTCACGTCGTCGCCTTCGCGAAGCCTGGGCCATTCATCCGATAGCAACGGCACGGCACGACGCTGCCGCACGGTATCGTGGCCATAAACAAACCGCGCGCCCGGCCCCATCCCCGGGCCCTATTAAAGGACGAGCATCTCGCTGCGCTGCCATATCGCCGTCCCGTTCCCGCTGCCCGCTTGTCATTGTCACTAGCCTGGAGCAGGAGAGCCTTGGAGTGTTGTGTTGCGCGACCTGTGGCTTGGAGTCACTCGACCCGTCGAGCTTGCACCGCCGTTGAAGCGCAGCGCAGGGCAGGGCCCGTTCAGAGCATGGCGAGGAGCACCATCACCGTGGAGGACCTTCCCGCCGACGTGCTGGCCTGCGCGCTGCGCCGCCTCGACGGGCCTTCCCTGGCCGCCGCCAGCTGCGCGACCGCGGGCCTCCGAGCGCTCGCCGCGGACCCGGAGACGTGGCGCGCGCTCTGCCTCGCGCGCTGGCCGTCGCTGGCCGCGCGCCCAGACCTCCTCCTCTCCTCCTCCTCCTCCGCCGTCTCTCCGCAGCGCCTCTTCGCCGACGCCTTCCCGTTCCCGTGCGATGCCTCCTCGGCTGAGCACCTCCCCGCCCCCGTCCCCGTCCCCGTCCCCAGCGAGCTCGTCTCCGCCGTGGACGTCTACCACCGCGGGGAGCCGCTGCTCTCCCGCGTCGTGGAGACCTCCACGTCGTCCTCGTGGTTCCTCACCTCGCCGTTCTGCGTCGACGCCGTGGAGTGCAAGAGCGGCCCCGCCGGTGCCGTGCCCATCATCGGCCGCGCCGCCGCCGCCGCCGTGCCTGCCCCGGCGGAGCTGGAGCTCAGCTGGGTCGCGATCGACCCCGCCAGCGGCCGCGCCGTGAACGTGTCCAGCCGCCGCCCCGTCGCCGTGGACAGGCACTGGTACACGGGCGACACGCTGGTGCGCTACGCGGTCGTGCTCGGCGGCTGCAAGTTCGAGGCCACCGTCACCTGCTCCCACGAGACGGGGCACGTCCGGGAGATCAGCCTTACCGTCGAGGACGCCGATGGCGCCGCGGTCAGCGGCGAAGGCGCCCTGCGGCTGCTCGCGGCGGCCATGGCGGGGCCGAGGAAGGGTGGGGCGGAGCAAGAGGAGGCGGCCAAGCGGAGGTACGAGGACTTCGTGAGGAGCAAGCGGGGCAGGAAGGAGTCCAAGGCCAGGAAGGAGGTGCTCGTCGATCTCTGCTGCTCCGCCGTCAGTGCCGTTGCCGTTCTTAGCTTCATCGCCACCGTCGTGCTCCGGTAGAGCTACAGCTACTGTTCTGCCGATGCATCTCATCCTCAACGTTATTTAGGAGTTCGTAGCATCATGTAAATACCTCTGGGAGAGTTCTCTTTCTTTTCAATTTGGTTACAATTTAGGCACTAAATTTGGTGATACAGCATGTACAACAAATTTTCCAGTGAAACCAAAGAGACAAAGCCATGTAACTCTATCTGTCTCTTCTTTTTTCGAAATTTTATACATTTCTTCTTCAGTCATGTGGGCACTAAATTGATTCTTGCGAAGTTTCAGTGAAATCCATACGTTCTAGAGAGGTCTCAAACCTGTTAAAACCTGTGAAGTTTGAAACCTGAAAGCTCAGACTTCTCGGGGGCACACGTACAGATCCGAAAGGTTCCCGGTCTTTTGATCAGTCGTGGCAGGAAAAATAAAAGATCGCACAGTCAATACTGCATCACCGTCGAAGTGCAATTTCGCTTTCCTGATGAGTGTCAACGTGTAATATTATTCAGCGTGTTTGGCTGGTAGACTGCATCGTAGATTTTAGATGGTTTCGAATGATTTAATATTCTATGAAAGAAAATAAACTGAAACAAGCTGAAACAATTCATAACATGACCAGCCGAACACCCTGATTACACTTCCCGCGTTCCAGATGACCGTTTCAAAACGAAACGTCCAATTTGACAGCAGACTGCATTTCTTTAGTAGTAGTACTACGTCAGACCGTCTCCAGCAACCACGGCCTAAAATACAAGACTCATTCGTCCTTTGAATTGCGCTATAGGCAAAGGGTTCAATATCTATTTTTGTCTTCTCCAATAACAAGACCCAGAAAAACAACTCTTTCTGCAAATGGGTCTCCAGGAGAGAGAATACTCAGATTTGGGTTATGCCTCTCCTGGCACCTAAAATGGATCTTTCATATATGTACTATGTTGGAGGCTATAGGTATTGTATTGGAGACCTATTTTGGGTTTGGGTTCCGTAATGGATCTCCTATTGAAGACAGCCTCAACCATTTTTATTTTGGTTATTTCATCATTTTTTATACTAGCTCATCAACCTGTTTCAGCACTGCCTATAAAGTTAGTATGTACAACTAACTATTCATTTTTCAAAATGCAATACTCCTGTCCTATAAATAATAATTATATTTCACCAGTAGATTTTGACTCTTAATTTCTCTTATAATATTTAGTTAATTGTTAAACACATCAATGTCATCTCAGAGGCACTTGAACATAAATCTATTGATGTAAGTTTTATGCTCTAAACTTATGTATAATTTGACTAATTGTTAGTCAACAATTATAAAGGTTGAATTTCTCTCTGGTCGAATATTATTATCATTTATGGACAGAGGGAGTACCAATGTAGCAGTTAAAATACTATATAATCTCTATGATGTTGTATTTGTTTTACAAAGAAAATAGAGTGCTTAGAGTTGAACTACCATTATTGATATGTTATAATGTTTCGGCCAAATTATATAAACTTATCTAAAGTAGTAAAATTGTTGGAGTGCTTGTCTCTCATGTTCAACTTAAAATTATGTGTTCAAAATAGAGCTAGTACGCTTGCTCAATTGTTGAGGATGCTCTTAGCCGGTGAATTTTGGCTCTTGCCTACATTTGAGTGAGATATATGGTAGTGTGTGTGTGTATATATATATATATATATATATATATATATATATATATATATCCGGTACCCACTGTCCAACAAAAGTTTAGTCGATGCCGTGACAAAGACTTTGCACTGTTCGCCTACACGGCCATTTAGCCCAGTTACACCTGTGTAAATGCACACACTGGCTTTTCGTGTTCGTTTAATTAGCCGTTTATCCTATTTAATCATGGTTTAGTTTGTCTAAATGGCTATTTAACCCGATTAAATAGCTAAACGATAGGTGCCCGTTTAAACGTATAGGATAACCATAAGTGATTATTATGTATTATTGGTGCTATATGCAACATCCTAGCTAATTAATTAAAATATAAAAAGAAAATAATTTTATTTATACTAGATAGCAACACTATGTTTAGTTAAATATTTTTATAAAATAAAAATTGCTTGGCTTCTAAAAGTTTCCAGCTTTGCCACTGTCGTGCCCTGATCTCAGGGGCATTGATGAGCGCTCATCAATGGTGAGCAACGCGGAAAGGGATAAGGCTTAGAGAAAGAGATCCACAGCTTTGGTTTTACATCTAATGGATAACAAATTTGATAAATATAGGTCATATAAATCTGTTGACAGATGTATAGTAATTCCTAGGAAAGAAAGAAGCAATGGCTCAGCTGTGCTGTCAAATCGCAATCGCGTTCCCCCCTTGCATGGTGTGCTGTGCGACGACCTGTGACTTGGAGTCACTCGGCTACTCGAGCTGTCGACGACCTTGCACCGGTCAAGCACAGTTGTAATAATTCCAACAAGGCTGGGTCCTCCCGTTGCTTATCTCCAAACTAGACCAATCGTGCTGCGTATACTTGTCTTTTATTTGCAACGTATACACATACACTACCGCAATCGCCACCTAAATCCCGCTCAATGCATTTGCTTCTTTGCGACCTGACGATGAAACAAAGGGCGCCAGCCACAAGAACTGACCATTTTTTGGTGGACACAGTTGATTTGCAGACCCCAAAGGGATCGGACAGTCAATTCGGCATCATGGTCAAAATACTAGTATAGTACTTGTATTTCTATTTCACGATCCTGGTAGAGTCGACGTGCAAGTATTCAGCCTATTCGCTTGGTCGTATTTGGCTTATAAGTCATGGTTTATCAACCAACGAACAGTATTTTTCTCTCACACCAAACCAACCAACAATACTTTCAGCCATGACTTATAAGCCAAATAAGCCCAAACAAACAGGACAATTATATGTTATACCCCGCCCTGCGAGACTCTTTCAAACCGAACGTGTAACATATCAGTATATAGTGGGTATCAGGGTATAGCTTCAAAGTTCAAAGCATGGGAATTGGTACAAAACCTCCTGGCCGATGCAGAAATTCTCCAAACTGATGCTCTGAACCCTGCCTCACGGTCTCGCCTTGACGTTCGTTTCAAAAGCTGGACAGGAAGGTACGTTTTGCACAGCCTCTTTCGCTTGGTTAGTACTCAGTACATGTTGGGCAACCATGCAGGCATAACAAAGCCTCTTTCTCTTGGTCAGTAAACATGTCGGGCAACCTATGCAAGCATAACAATGCTGGTTTCAAATGGAAATTTGTTCATGAATTAAGTGCGCAGACACTCGTCTCACCGTAACAAGTAGAATACATCCCAGTTAGCATATAATGTAGAAATGTACTAAAAAATGTATCAGGTATTTAGTAGCTGCAGGTTGCGAGCTGCTGCTACATGCAGCCAGATAAGAATGCAAAGAGGCAGCATAGCTGATCGGTGTGCTCAATTCCGGCATGCAACAGAAGCCAAGGGCATCCGAGTTCTGCCATATACAGCAAAAAATCTACTAAAGACATCAGTCTTGGCAAAAGCTGATGGGCTCTGCATGTTTCATCATACACAAATTTAACCAAAACTGGGTGAAGTCATAAGCATACAACCATACAACACCCCGAAACGTCACCTGACTTGCTGTCAGCTTTCAAATTTTCACATTACCAACTCTATCTACTCCAATTCCTTCTAGCAGCGTTAAATTTACATCAGGCAACATGTTGCCAGTAGCCAAACAAAAAACATCTCCCGGAGCCGTGCAGTTACTCAAAAAATTGGCTTGGGGGTATACCACCAAAGAGAGGGTCAGCTTTTGTACAGGCCATTCCATGGCTATGTTATTCTTTCCTTCTTCCAAACGACAAACCGAATCCACGGTGGTGCTAACCAAACTCTATAGTTTACCATATATATCATTCTCTGAACCAAAGTTGACAAAATAATACAGGGCTCCTTATGATCACTATCATCCCCCCACTGTCCACCCTCGTTCTGCAATCACTTCACGAACACGAGTAGCTACTTCAATGGCGTCATTTAGGGGAGGGTAGCTCCAGCTATTTGAAATCTACAAGGGAAAGTCAAGTGATAAGCTGTGCAAGTACATCCATCTGAGCTTCAAGGAAATCTCACCTAATAAAACAGATTTGTCTTGTTCATTTTGATCATTCAACCAGTATATACTAAAATCTTCTATATGGTGGGGGCAAGCTACACGATGCAGAACAATCGAGTACCGATATGCTGTAGAACTCACACTTCCAATTCATAATAATTTATGCACCAACTAGATATTTCTAATGTATTTAGATGAAATTTTCACAAGAACAATTAGAATAGTGTGGTATTTACCACAGGAACTATAAATGATGCCAAGAGTAAATATACAGCATTTGCACTGCCATATATATGTAGATAACTATTTGTGCATGAGAAGCTATTAGGGCAGCCCCAATGCTAAAAACTACATGTAGTTTCTATACTTATTAATTTCATAGACACTACATATAGAAACCATGCTCTTAATGGATAGTTTCTACAGAACAATTTTTTATCCAATCACATACATTCTCTCTCCATTCTATACCAATCACATCCCTTCATGTCTTGTTTCTCGTGTAGACATGGTTTCTAACTTAGACCCGGTTTCTATGATTTTTGCTATCTCTCTTCAATAACTACCTTGCCACATCAGCAAAACGCTTAGATGGCAGTACAAGTAATGTCTATAGAAACTATGATGGCTTTTGCATTAGGAGTGCCCTTACGGATGTTCACAAGCACAGAAAAATTGTTTAGGAGTTAGGATCAAAGTTGGCATATATGGGGAAAAGTCCAGTATTATGTATAAAGTAAAATGATCGGCACTAAAACTTTAGTTTGAATGGGATAGCATACTCAAACAAAATCTGCTCATAGTATCAAAGTGGTCACTCCAAACAGATTATCATTAGTAGAAATATTGAAAAAACTTACATCTTCCAATCCAGTGAACGGACGAACAACCCCTCGCTCCCGTAGAGTCTTGTGAAAAGCTGAAAACTTCCATTTACAGTGTTCGGTCCCAACAACATAAACAGGTTTCCTGTAGCGATGGTAATTTGAAGCTAGTCACACTCATGAAGCTTCATAAAAAGGTTGCAATGTGCAAGTCGTTCCAATAAGAAAACAACTTACCCTGTGCTGCATGCCTCACTTAACATACTTATCGAGTCTGCTGTTATGACAAAAGCATCAGCCCATGCAAGATGTCCCATGTGAGGATTAGGTTCTGCAGAAGTAAACATAGTTGCTAGTTCAACAAGTTGAGCAAAAAGCATAAATACTGAACAACTTAGAGCTAGTCTTCAGATTCTACCTTCACCATTCCAAATATAGACCTTAGGATGTCCAGCAAATTCTTTGAATACAATATCAGCGACCTGCAAGCAGACAGTTGAACTGTCAAGCCTACCAACTTGTATTATAGAAAAAACTGCCAAATACCATACCTTCCATGGTGTTCTCCGAGAGAATGAGATTCTGACACTCCCACAGCTATCTAGCACATTATACAGAGAAGTTATGAGCTGCTTGGCAAGATCTACACCATATTTACAATTCCCTGAACATTTAAAGGGGAAAAAACACATTAGAAAGATCATCGTGTATCTGAGTATGAAAAGCAATTAACAAATAATTCAACACATTTGGAAATGGTATCCAAAGAATAAGATGTGAAAATTGGAATGGCTAAAGGCCAGTAAGTATGCAAGTTGGGAAAGGGAAAAGTCTAAAATAGTTGACAGTACCTCATAGCATGTATAGAAAATGGCAATGCACTTGTTCTCTACCTGCCAGATTTGCTACAGGGCAAACTGCACCCTGGATCGATTGACCTAAGTTGACTTGTGTATGGGTTTGCTAAGGACTTTGGGAGGGAAAATGATGCGCTGTTATGCTGCACTGTTCATGTTAACTAAGGTTCACAAAAAACAATGAAACAAAATAAGAGAATTTGCTTTTGAGTAATGAAAGACCTATTCTTATTTCTGCACTCCATTGGATGCCTGTCTCTTTTGCCCTTTTCACATAACCACGCAGTTTGAGGCCAGGGTTAACTTGTTGGGCCCTTGGGTGGCAATGGGATTACATGTAGTTCTTTTGTTAAATTGGACATAGAGCAGATATTTGGGATCTATAATTGTTTTTTTCTATTGGTGAGATGAAGTCCAGGATAACATGAATAGATGGAATATCTAAATCAATGAACAATGCCATATTAATCAGCCTAAAAGGATGATATTTCCATTGTCATACTTTTTGCAAGTCTAATAATCAATTGGTACAATACAACACTAGCAGATACTAAGAAACTACTCCATCCATTCCAAATTAAAAGACGTTTTGGCTTTTCTAGATTCATAGCTTTTGCTATGCACTTCGATATACACTATGCCTAGATGCATAGTAAAAGCAATGTATCTAGAAAAGCTAAAAATGTTTTATAATTTGGAATAGAATACTATTCTTCTGCAGTTCATTACAAATTAATCCTTATTAGGATCATAATACTACAAGCAAGCCTATCCAATATGATATCAAAATAAAGGAAAGCTATCCAATCAGTAAAGGAAATAATACATTCACTCGTTATATGCAACTATGCGCTAGGCAAGCCACACTGACAGCATCCCTGTTTGAGAGCAACAACTGGCATAATGTCTAGACTCTAGATTTACTCTGCAGAAAACTCAAAACAGAACTATGCAAAAACATGCACAGGAGACAGAGTATTACTGGTGGGGCCCCCAATGTTGACAATTAGCAACGGCTTAGGCAAAGGGGCAAGTTCATCGTGCCAGGCTATAGCAGCAAGCCGTAGCGCAGCAGAATCAGCCTGGTGTAGTGCACCAACAGTAAGTACCTGGTTATTCAAAATTCAGAATCAGCATGCCACCACTGTGCAAGTTACTTGAAAACTATGAGTATGAAAAAGGCAGCATACCACATTGCTCCTGGGCGGTTCCTGTGGAGTAATCCATCTGCGGAACAGGCGTGGAATTTCTTGTTGTCCACTAGCGGTTAAAGCATAGTAATCATGGCGAGGAGTCACCACCAAATCAAACCTATCAAGGCGAGACCGTGGGTGCTGGATCTGAAATAAAAACAGCACACATTACAAGAATCAGATTAAAATTTGCAAGTTTATTGTGTGGATCTACTGTATTAGCAGATACGAGTACAGTGAAAGTCAGCAGATTAGGTATGAATACTACCTGGATGACAAACACATTATCTGAAGCTATTTTCCTTATCAAGCTTGAATATGATATGGTGTCCCAGCCACAAGCAACGACTAATGTCGGACCTTCCCTGGAAGAAGAATTAATTGTCATAATGTTATGTTCACATCTTAGCATATTATTCAAAAGCCAGTAGGACTGCCTGATTTTGAGGAAGTTACAAAACCTGACAACCAACCCACAAGCAATACATATGTTAAGACAAGAACTTAGATTTTCTACGGGGGCACACCCTGGCAAGGCCACACACAACAACCATAAAGTTATAGAACATATGATTATACAATGGGTTTTTTTATCAAACACACGAGAGAACTGCGTATCATTTCATTAAGAAGAAATGTTTGAAATACAGGGAAGAAATCCCCAATAACACACACACCCACACGACTCTAGAAGAGCACTGAATAAAAACTGGAAACAAAACAACCAGAAGCTCTTGGAGGCCCTTTGCTCCAGTCGAGCATCACAGATGCACTCATAAGTGACAGCCAGTAACACCATTGTGATACAATGGTCTATAACAGCAAAAATGACCAGCCAAATGAATATTATTCGAACGAGATCGAATTTCATAAAGCACTCCATTCTATCTCTCCAACGTAAGACATAATCTGCTGCTCCCCACCTCTCCCTTGGCTGCAGATTAGGAGTTGGAGCTGGTCAGCTCGGCTGTCCACTCCCTACTGCTGTAGCAGTAAGGCAATAGGCCATGGTAATAGTGGCTTACTATAGTCATGTAGTGTAGAGATGGCTGAGCTAAGCATTAAGCATTGTACCTTAGGAGTAGGTAGTTGGTGTACTCACCAACAACTATGTACCTGGTAGAGGTACTAGCACCTGTATATACACTAAGTCAAGGCAATGCAGTAGATCAGTTCAGTTGCCACATTCAGTCTTTAGAGCTCTGGTTCAGAGTTGGTGCGTGTGTTGTGTGTGCTCTTGAGCTCAACCCCTTCTTCTACCTCTAGCCATAGTGAGTGTGCTGGTAAGCTGGTTGCTTACCTGTGCAGGGCAGCAAGGGACCAACAAGTGGTATCAAAGCCGTAGAGCTGCGTCGCCGGACTAACCGCTGGCGATGGCGGGTGATCATGGCTCGGAGACGGGCAACAGCAGCGGCGCTGCTGGGGCTGCCTAGCCACAACAGGAGGTCGTTGTGCGCGCGGTGCGGGAGGTCAGCGGCGCCAGTTGGCCGACGCTGACTCGCACCAACTATAGCCAGTGGGCAGTGACCATGAAGATCAAGCTCAGAGCCCGACGACTTTGGAATGCCATTGACAAGGGCACCGACAACGAAGAAGACGACATGTCAGCGATGGAGGCTATCCTCGCAGCCGTGCCAGCGGAGTATAGGGAGCCGTTGGGGGCGAAGAAGTCTGCTAAGGAGGTGTGGGAGGCCATTGCAGCGATGGGCGTCGGTTCCGACCGCGCAAAGAAGGCGATGGCCCAGCTGCGGAAGCAGGAGTACGCCAACCTCAAGTTCCGCGATGGTGAATCAGTGGAGGACTTCTCCCTCCGCCTGCAGTCGCTCATCAGCAAGCTGGGGAGCTACGGCGTCACCGTCAACGACGAGCAAGCGATCTCCAAGTACCTCCTCTCCGTGCCGGTGAAGTACATCCAGATCGCTCTCTCCATAGAGACGATGCTAGACTTGTCCACCCTTACCATTAAGGATGTGACCGGTCGTCTACAGGCGGTGGACGAGCGCATGGAGCAGGCCACGACAACGACGGATAGCGGCAAGCTGCTGCTGACAGAGAATGAGTGATCTGCCCGGATGAAGGAGAAGAAGTCCGGGGTAGCCTCCTCCAGCTACGGTTGCGACGGCAAGCGCCGTGGCAAGGCTTCTTCGGAGAAGAAGAAGAAGGTCGACCCCAACGCCTGCCGGCGCTGCGGGAAGACGGACCACTGGGCGAAGGAGTGCCCAAGCCGCAAGCAGGAGAAGAAGGCTGAGGCGACAGGCTGATGATGAGGATGAGGCCACTCTCCTGATGGTGTCATTCTGTGCCCTGCACGACCTCGAAGCAGAGGAGAAAGCAAAGGAGGTGGCGATGGCGGAGCAGGGGAAGACTCTTAAGGCTGTCGACCACGACGAGCCGCGCGCCCAAGTCCATATCGGATGTGTGGGCAGCGAGAAGAAGCAGAGGTGGTACCTGGACTCCGGGGCCAGCAACCACATGACGGGCTCCAAGCGGCCTTCTCCGAGCTCAACGGGAACGTGACCTGCACGGTGAAGTTTGGCGACGGCTCAAGGGTGGCGATCCGAGGGCGCGGCACCATCATCTTCAGGTGCCAGAATGGCGAGCACCGCGCCCTGAAGGATTTGTATTACATCCCGTAGCTGCGTTCAAGCATCATCAGCATTGGGCAGCTAGATGAGTGCGGGAGCGAGGTGCTGATCAAGGACGGCGTCCTCAGGATCAGGGACCGGGAGCAGCGGCTTCTCGCCAAGGTGAAGAGGTCCCGGAACCGGCTGTACCTGCTCGACTTGAAGGTGGAGCAGCCCATCTGCCTGGTGGCGCGGCGCACGGAGGAGCCGTGGCTGTGGCACGCCAGGTTCGTCCATCTCAGCTTCGACGCCCTCGGCAAGCTGGAGAAGATGGTCCTGAGGCTGCCTCACATCGAGCACGCAGGCGAGCTATGTGACAGCTGCCTGGCCGGAAAACAGATGAGGTTGCCGTTCCCGAAGACGGCGAAGTACCGCGCAGCAGAGGCCCTCGAGCTGGTCCATGGTGACCTCTGCGAGCCAATCACGCCGGCAACGCACGGCGGGCGCAAGTACTTCATCCTGCTCGTGGATGATTGCAGCCGCTACATGTGGCTGCAGCTCCTGACGAGCAAGGGCAAGGCGGCGGAGGCGATCAAGAGGTTCAAGGCGCATGCAGAGACCGAGAGCGGGAAGAAGCTGCGCGTGCTGAGGATGGATCGCGGCGGCGAGTTCACCTCGGTGGAGCTCGCCGCGTACTGCGCAGATCAAGGGGTGTTGCGCCACCACATCGCGCCGTACATGCCGCACAGAATGGCGTGGTGGAGCGGCGGAACTAGACGGTGGTCGGCATGGCGAGGTCGATGATGAAGGCCAAAAAGATGCTGGCGGAGTTCTGGGGCGAGGCGGTGACCACGGAGGTGTTCATCCTCAACCGCGCGCCCACCAAGGCCTTGAAGGGCAAGACGTCATTCGAGGCAAGGCACAAGCGCAAGCCGAACGTTTCGTTCCTCAGAACGTTCGGCTGCGTCGGCCATGTGAAGAACATTAAGCCTCACCTCGGCAAGCTGGAGGACAGGAGTACACCCATGGTGCTCCTAGGCTATGAGGAAGGTAGCAAGGCCTATCGGCTCTACAATCCCAAGGGAGGCACGGTCGTGATCTACAGGGATGTGGTGTTCAACAAGATGGCGGCCTAGGATTGGGAGGATTCGTGCACGGGGGAAGCCGGTGGCGTCAGCGGCATGTTTGCCGTCGAACACCTGGTGATCCAAGGAGGAGGAGATGCTGGCGTTCGAGAGCAGGCTACGGACGGGCCAGGTCCGGCAGCTGAGGCGGCCGAGGAGCTGCCAAGTCCGGCCATGACGGGCGCGGGCGAACAATCTCCACCGGCAGCGGCGCACTCGCCTCCACCTCAGTCCCCTGCTTCGGCAGGATAGGGGACACCTCCGCTCGAGTTCACTTCCCCGCCCACCGACATCGACGAGTACATGGACGCTTTCCACGAGGGCAAAGAGGTGCGTTTCCGCCAAGTGGACAACATCGTCGGCGACGGGGGAGCACCTGGGCTGGCCACTCGCATCCTCGACGATCCAGAGCTGCTTCTCGTCAGCGCGGAGGAGCCACCCACGTTCGTGGTGGCTGAGCGCGACGCCAATTGGCGGCGGGCGATGCTGGAGGAGATGAAGGCGATCGAGGACAATGGGACATGGGAGCTGGTTGATCTGCTGGCTGACTGCCGGCCGATTGAGCTCAAATGGGTCTACAAGGTGAAGCGGGACGAGCGCGGCGCCATCGTCAAGTACAAGGCACGGCTCATCGTCGGCGGCTTCATCCAGCCCGAGGGCATCGACTTCGAGGAGGTCTTTGCTCCGGTGGCGCGCATGGAGTCCGTCCGCCTGCTGCTGGCCAAGGCAGCGGCAAAGGATTGGCGCGTCCACCACCTCGACGTCAAGTCAGCGTTCCTCAATGGCGAGCTCGCGAAGACGGTCTTTGTCAAGCAAGCTCCGGGCTTCGCCGTCAAGGGAGCAGAGCACAAGGTGCTCAGGCTGCGCAAGGCGCTCTATGGGCTCCGGCAGGCCCCGCAGGCGTGGAATGCCAAGCTCGACGCCACCTTGGGCGAGCTTGGGTTCACCCGCTGCGCCACAAAGCACGCGCTCTACATGCGGCGACGGGGGAAGGAGGAGCTCGTCGTCGGCGTGTACATGGACAATTTGATCGTCACCGGAGCACGAGCAGAGGACATCGACGGCTTCAAGCGCGAGATGGCGGCTCGTTTCCAGATGAGCGATCTCGGCGCGCTCTCCTACTACCTCGGCATCAAGGTGAGGCAGGGGAAACAGAGCATCTCCTTGGGCCAACGCGCCTACGCGAAGAAACTGCTGGAGCGCGGCGGCATGGCGGAGTGCAAGCCGTGCGCGACTCCAATGGAAGAGCGGCTGAAGCTGTCCAAGCATAGCACGGCGGCGAAGGTGGACGCGGCGCGCTACCGAAGCATCGTCGGTGGGCTGCGCTACCTCACGCATACTCGGCCGGACACCGCGTTCGCGGTCGGGTACATCAGCCGGTTCATGCAGGACCCGCGGGAGGATCATTGGACGGCGGTGAAGAGGGTGCTGCGCTACGTCAAGGGGACGCTCGATCAAGCAATCATCTTCCCCAAGCATGGCGGAAAGGGTGGGCTGCGCCTCACGGTCTTTAGTGAGGCACCCCCCAAAACAAAGGAAGGTGAGCCTGAGCTCACTGTCTTCAGCGATGCAGACATGGCGGGCAACATCGATGGGCGACGGAGCACCTCTGGCGTGCTCGCCTTCCTTGGAGTGGCTCCCATTGCTTGGCAGTTGCTGAAGCAAAAGATCGTGGCGCTGTCGACATGTGAGGCGGAGTATGTCGCAGCGGCCACGGCGGCGTGCCAAGCTGTCTGGCTGCGCCGGCTGCTTGACGAGCTGACCGGCAAGGAAGCTCACCCGCCAGCTCTGATGGTGGACAATCAGCCCGCCCTCGCCAAGAACCTTGTCCTCCACGACCGGAGCAAGCACATCGACATCAAGTTCCACTTCCTCTGGGACTGCGTCGATGGAGGGCAGATCGCCATCAAGTTTGTCAAGACTGGCAGACAGCTCGCTGACATCCTCACCAAGTCACTCGGGCGCCTACGGTTCATGGAGCTGAGGAAGATGATTGGTATGGATGAGGTCAAGGCATCGGGTTAGCAGTAGGATTAAGGGAAGAATTGTAAGACATAATATGCTGCTCCCCACTTCTCCCTTGGCTGCAGATTAGGAGTTGGAGCTGGTCAGCTCGGTTGTCCACTCCCTGCTGCTGTGGCAGTAAGGCAATAGGCCATGGTAGTAGTGGCTTACTTCAGCCATATAGTGTAGAGATGGCTGAGCTAAGCTTTGTACCTTAGGAGTAGGTAGTTGGTGTACTCACCAACAACTATGTACCTGGTAGAGGTACTAACACCTGTATATATACTATGCCAAGGCAATACAGCAGATCAGTTCAGTTGCCACATTCAGTCTTCAGAGCTCTAGTTCAGAGCTGGTGCGTATGCTGTGTGCTCTTGAGCTCAACCCCTTCTTCTACCTCAAGACATAGTGAGTGAGTGTGCTGGTAAGCTGGTTGCTTACCTGTGCAGGGCAGAGAGGGACCAACATCCAACAAAAAACAGTGGGACAACCTGGACAACTAAAGGAAGTAACTAACAGGCTTAAGCTGATAGGAACTCTGGGTGAGAAGAAGCTTTTCCTGCATTCCCGGTGATGCAGAGATCATACAAGAAGGCCCATCTCTTACTATTAGAGTCCAATGTGATAGAAGGAGCAGCTCTAGCTTAAGCCCCCACTAGAACATTCCTTTGGATGTAATTGTTTACTGGGTTCGACTTCTTGTTTGAAAAATAGAAAGAAAACAGTCTCTTGTATGTTATTGTCAGGTGACTCATTTCATAATATTTATTTTGTGCAGTTTCAAGATGCTCATAAAGTAATTGGCTTTTGAACTCAATTATGTATATCGCAAACAACTGTGCCTCATATGCCATGTTCCAATGTTTCCTCCTTTAAGCATACTGAACAGAATCATGTATTCACAAAAGGTGTGTGCGTTGCATAAATGTCAAGGTCCAATGATCACAATATGTGAGCAGCTCCTAAGACGGCAAACAAAATGATACACCAAAAAGGGCCAGCATAGTGCAATAAATAAGGTTAACATTTCTGATTGGCCAATGAGCAAAATTCATGAACTAGTCAATTCTTTCGGGGCCCCTTAGCATGAGTAATGGTCAAAACTTAAAAGTCGGTAGACTGGTGCATAAGTTTATAGAAGGAAGCAACTGAGAAATGCTACAGCAGTAGTAGGGACTTACTTCTCATATGTACCACGAGCCACAGTAACAATCTTCCTGACGTCTGCTTCCAGAACTGCAGACAACCCAACCGATCCGCCATTCAGGACACGGTACGGCTTCCTCCCCTGAATCACTATCGCGAACCTCGTGTTGCGGAAGAACTGCCTGAGCACTTGGTCTATAAACTTGTGCATGGAAATGGGGAGAAAGTGCAGCCACTCATTGATCCCTCCTCTCGGCCTCGTGACACGCTGCAAGCCAAGCCCCCAAAAGCAAAATTAACCCAGAAAATCATTAAATTTTGCGACGGTCGGGCGCAACTACACTAGCAATCGAAACGGAGTTTCCATTCGTGTCATCCCGTTGCAGCAACAGAACAGAACAGAAATGCGTAAAACGGGAATGGTAGGTACTACGGGGGGGGGGGGGCGGGGGGGGAGTAAAGGAGAGGAACTGACGTAGAGGGTGAGGTTGTCGGCAAGGCCGAGGGCGCGGGCGAGGCCGAGACACTGGTTCTCTGCGCCGGTGGAGCCGTTGCCGATGAGGACGGCGCGGCGAACGACGGTGGCGCCGCCAGTGCCGCTGCCAGAGAAGATATCGGGCGTCTCCATGCCGTCGACGCCCGGCGGCTCGGGTAGCCGGATCGGCCGCATCGGCCCAGGGTTTTGCGGGCGGTTGAATTCGCGCCGGAAGGAGAGGAGAGGAGAGGAGGAATTCGCTTGGAGGCCGGAGGGTTCGATGCGATGCGGGAGTTGGAGGTTTCGGTGTCTGATGAAGGAAGTTGTGAAGTGGAATAGGTCGAAAAGGGGCGTATGTTTGTGGCTCTCGAGTCTTGTCTTCCAAGAATTCAGACCCTCGTGTCAAAGGGTCACACACACAATGGCACAAACCAAGCGAATGCACACGATGTATCAGAAATGCAAAACTTCCATCAAACAGAGTCTGTTTGAACGAATACTCCTCCGTCCCAAAGTTAATGTAATCTCATTTCTTAACAAGTCAATTTTTTAAATAATTATAAATATAGAAAATAACTCTGTCTATGTTGTCTCAACATAGCAGATCCTAAGCACTGGTAAAGGAGAAAAGATATGATAGACGTGGTGAGCCAACGTTAAATCTAGCCATTCTAATGGAGATGAAACCCGAAAGAAAACCGTTGTGACGTAACCCTCTTAGCGACGCGCCATATCGGAACTCGGGTATGGTGTTAAATGGGCAAGGGCCGGGTCGGCACCCCCTTGGTGACGCGTCGTGTCGTGATCTGGGTATGGTGTCAAGTGAGCAAGGATCGGGTTGTCGCTTCCTTAGTGCCGCGCTATATCGGCGCCCGAGTGTAGTAAAAAATGAGCAAGGGTTCACATCTGAGTCGACGGATGTGAAGAGTAAGAAAGCTAGTCGAATCAACTAGGATTCGTTTAGATAGTTGGAATGTAGGGTCGCTTATAGGTAAATTAAGAGAATTAGTTGATACCGTGACTAGAAGACGTGTAAATATATTATGCGTTCAAGAGACTAAATGGAAGGGTAAGAAGACGAAGGAGGTGGACAGTACAGGTTTCAAGCTTTGGTACACAGGGACAGTCACGAATAAAAATAGAGTAGGAGTTTTGATTGATAAGAGCCTTAAGAATGGTGTGGTGGGAGTGAGAAGACAAGGAGATAGTATTATCTTAGTCAAGCTTGTCGTTGGTGATATGGTCTTGAACATAATTAGTGCGTATGCCCCAAGTAGGCCTCGACGAGAATGCTAAGAGACAGTTCTGGAAAGACTCGGATGGTCTGATTAAAGCTATACCTAGTAGGGAGAAGTTTTTTATAAAAGGAGATCTTAATGGACATGTATGTACTACAAGCGCAAGTTTCGAGGCAGTTCATAGAGGTTTTGGGTATGGTATTAGGAATCAGGAGGGGGAGAAGTTCTGGACTTCGCGGTAGCTTTTGACCTGATGATAGCCAATACTTTCTTTAGAAAGAGAGAATCTCATCTAGTGACCTTCAGTAGCGGACAACACTCTAACCAGATTTACTTTGTCCTCGCAAGAAGAAAGGACAAACAGGCATGATTGGGTTGCAAGGTGATACTAGAAGATTGTGTTGTTTCTCAACATAAGCTTTTGGTGGTAGACTTTCGTTTTTAGGTGCGTGCCCGTCGGGATAAACAAGCTAAGATTGAAAGAACAAAGTGGTGGAAACTGAAAGGGGAGACGTCAGAGGTATTCAGAGAAATAGTTATCAAAGAGGGCTCTTGAAAGGAAGAAGAGGACATAAACAACATGTGGAAGAAAATGGCAACCAACATTCAGAGGTGTGTGGAGTAACCAAAGAAAATGGAGGCGATGCTAAAGATACTTGGTGGTGAAACAAGAAAGTCTAAAAGGCTATTAAGGAGAAGAAAGAATGCTATAGACGCTTTACCATGACAGGAGTGTGGACAACATAGAGAAGTAGAAGGTGGCAAAGAAGACTGCAAAGTGAGTTGTAAGTATGGCAAAGGGTAGAGCGTACGAGGATCTTTATCAACATTTGAGTACGAAAGAAGGAGAGAAAGACATTTATAGAATGGCTAGGGTTCGTGAGAGAAAGATAAGGGACTTCAACCAAGTTAAGTGCATTAAGGATGAAAGGGAGCATCTCTTGCTGGAGAAGGATGACATCTGACATCGATGGCAAGAGTATTATGATAAATTGTTCAATGGTGAGAATATGGATATAACATTTCAGTTGGATGACTCTTTTGATGACATCAATAGGCGCTTTGTGCAGAGAATTCAAGAATCTGAGGTCAGAGAGGCGTTGAAAAGGATGAAAGGAGGTAAAGCAATGGGACCGGATGGTATCCCAATCGAGGTGTGGAGATGCCTCGGGGACAAAACTATAGTATGGCTAACCAAGCTGTTCAACCATATTTTTCGATCGAACAAGATGTCTGATGAGTGAAGAAGAAGTATATTAGTACCGATCTACAAAAATAAAGAAGATATTCAAAGTTGTACTAATTACTCGGGAATTAAGTTGATGAGACATACTATAAAGCTACGGGAGAGAGTTATCGAGCATCGTTTGAGAGCAATAACGCGGGTCTGTATGAACCAATCTGGTTTCATGCCCGGAAGGTCAACCATGGAAGCTATTTTCTTAATAAGACAAGTTATGAAGCAGTATAGGGAGAAGAAGGACTTACACATAGTTTTTATTGACTTGAAGAAGGCTTATGATAAAATACCAAGGAATGTTATGTGGTGGGCTTTGGACAAACATAAAGTCCCATTGAAGTATGTTAGGCTCATTAAGGACATGTACAACAATGTTGTGACTAGTGTTCGAACAAGTGATGAAGACACGGATGACTTCCTGATTAGGATAAGACTACATCAAGGGTCAACTTTGAGCCCTTATCTGTTTGTCTTAGTGATGGATGAGGTCACAAGGGACATACAAGGGGACATCCCTTGGTGTATGCTTTTCACGGATGATGTAGTGCTAGTTGATGAAAGCCGGACAGGAGTGAATCAGAAACTGGAGTTATGGCAGGAGACTTTGGAGTCCAAAGGTTCTAGACTCAGTAGAACTAAAACTGAGTATATGAGATGTGACTTTGGCACTACTACTCGGGAGGAGGAAGATATTAGTTTGGAAGATCAAGTAGTGCCTAGGAAGGATACCTTTCGATATTTAGAATCAATGCTACAGAGAGACGGGGATATTGATGAAGATATTAGCTATAAAATCAAAGCAGGATGGATGAAGTGGCGCCAAGCATCTGGTGTCCTATGTGATAAAAGGGTACCACAGAAGCTAAAAGGTAAATTTTATAGGACGGCGATTAGACCGGCTATGTTGTATGGAGCCGAATATTAGTCTATAAAAAGACGACATGTTCAATAGATAAGTGTCACGAAAATACGTATGTTGCGTTGTATTTGCGATCATACAAGAAGAGATCGAGTTTGGAACGATAATATATGTGATAGATTAGGGGTAGCACCATGTCGGTATAGAAAAGTGACCAACTAGTGAATATTTGTAGTTTTGCTGTACGTTGTGATCGGAGGTGGCCTAGCACTCAATGACACAGGATTTATACTGGTTCAGGCAACGTGCCCTACGTCCAGTTTGGGTCGATCGGTGACTTTATTTCTGAGCCCAGGTGCTCGAAGTCTGTAGTAGGGTTACAAACGAGAAGGAGAAAGGTGGGGTGTACGAGAGGCCCGATCGGGTCCGACCAGAAGGGCCGAGGGCGACCGAAACTCCGCTATGAGCTAGGTGTTTAAGCGTGTGCTTGAAGGGTTGTGAGTTATCGATCTAGTGAATCTCAACTTGAAGAAGTCAACCTCCTCGTTGGAGAGAGCGTATCCCCTTTTATAGATGAAGGGATGGCTTTATAGGTGAGAGGGAGAGAGTACGGACGTTACTAAGCCTTGTTGCCCACGCGCCGATGAGGACAGTGATGATGGTAGGCACCCACAATACTGTTGATGTCACTATAGAATGTCAGGTGCATATGGGAGGTTGCATTGTTTTCTTCAGGAAGGGTAGATGTTGGTACTGCTAAAATATTGTTGGTATGTGAGGAGCCCTACCACGTATACCAGGTATAGTGAATCCTGGCGCCCATAGTACTATAAATGTTCAAAGGCATGTGGGGGGCTCTTCGCCGTATGGGAGTCCAACGGCGCCTACAATACTATAGACACAAATGTCGGCGCCTACAATACTGTTTGTGTCAGGATGATTGTGGAGCACTGTTCCCATAGGCGTACAGGGTATGGTCCTGGTATCATAGTTTTGACTTGTGCGCTGCCTTCTCCGTTCGCCCTTGGTCCCTTCCGAGTGGGCGTCCCCGGTCGGATGGCCCCAGTCGGCCCTGGCCGCCTAGTCGGAGAAGAGCGGTAAGCAGGCTCTCTGGGGTCCCCTGTCAAAGAGGCAGGGTCGGAATAGGGAGCAGCGTTTCGAGCCAGGCCTTCTGATCGGAGAGACCGCCCGGAGGCAGCTGGTGTCCAAAGCGAGTGCTTTGGTCGGAGAGGTGGGACGAAGAAGTTGACAAGTAGGTGTTTGTTCCTTTGGATAGACCTTCCGGTCGGCGACCGGACTGTCCTTCCGGCCCGTTGTGTTTTAGACTCTTGGGCCGGCCCATGAACTACATGCTCTTTTATTGGGTCGAGCCCTGGCGTGGAAGCTGGTCCCCGAGGGACCCCGGGTTTATGAACCCGATAGGAGCCCCCGAGCCCTCGGGCGATTTGAGCAAAATCGTCCAGGGGATTTTTTTTGTCTTGTCGGTGGGTGCGCGCGAGCGCACCCGCGGGTGTAGCCCCTGAGCCCCTGGACGGTTCGGGCAGAACCGTCTGGGGGTGTTGTTTCAGCGGGCGTGCGTGTTTTTAGTTTGAGACTAAATTTTGTTAACCACGGCGTCGTTGCGCAGCCGAGGCGGTTTTAGGCACGGGGATGAGACAGAACTTACTGATCCCGACGTCGATGCGTGCCGTGGATCGGGTGAGAAGGTTAGTTCGGGATATACCCTGGCATCGGTGCGCGCCACGTATGGAGATAGCTCGGTTCGGATGTGACAGAACTCACTGATCTTTGGCGTCGATGCGCGCCGCGGGATCGGTCGAGGCGGAGTCGCGAGCGGACCCTAGGCGTCGGTGCGCGT